CTACCCCTGGGGTTATTCAGGAATAACTATTCTGGGATCATGATGATTTCTGAATACGTCCATGTATGGATACTTATTCCAGATTAAAAATGCCTTGTTCTGGATTATCTTAATCCAGTTTGAGAGTGTCCTGCTAGATTGAGGTGAAGTTATTTTTATATCCCTGCTTATTCCTGTGAGTGGTGGTCTTTGGGGCGATGATCTATTTTATTTCCCAGTGGGCCTGAATTACCTCATACAACATTTCTGGTATTGTTTACCATACAATTTTTCCAGCTAGTCTCTTTCAAGTGTTTGATTCCAAGATCCCCTACTCTTCTAAAAATGAGGAGGGGAAAAAAAAAGGCATAACAAAAAATATTCACTATCACCTGAACATTGGAACTACCTTGCACACATTAGAAGGTCAGAAATTCCAACTATTCTTTCATCATAAAAAAGAACGGAGAGGCAAGACCCATTTTGGATTTCAGATATCAAGTAGCCAAAATTCTGGATATAGACACTCTGAATTGTCCCCTGGATTGATGGCTGTTAGAACCAAGCTTCAGCCACAAAACTTATGGTTGTGTTTTTGTATATTGCTCAGTCACATAAGAGGCTCCTCTAGAGTATGTTGGATACCTGGCAGTTTCCTCCTCTTTATCTTGGTTTCTAAGCACTTTTTCCAAGGTGTGTTGGATATAGTCACCCCCAAACAGGGTTTGTTATTCCATACCTGAATGATTGGCTCATTCAAAAAAGATCACAGAGGCTGGCACAATATAGCAGAGATCTTGGTCATGTCAAGTCCTTAGGATTAGTGTTTAATCAAACGAAAGTTTCTTTGTTATTGCAGAAACCACCCACTTCTACATTATAGCTGCACAAAATCAGAGGGAAGATCAGAAAAATTTGGACAATAGAGAATTATCAAAGCTAAATCCACTCCTTCTTGGACTTGTTAGGCTCCCTAAAACAGAGAATTGGCTTCACAGTAAGAGCAAAATTATCTCAGTTTCACAGACAGTCCTCCTTCATATCTCCAGCAGACTTTCATAATGGACATGAATGTTTGGTGCACACTCTGCATCAATGGCAAACCAAGCAGTGTATTCATGGAGAAGAAGACTACATATGAATATATGGAAACAGAGAGATGGCAAGTTGGCATTGACTTATCTTCAGGATGTGTTCAGAATGATAGTGTGAACATTGAGATTGATAACATGGTAGTAATTTCTTAATTGCCAGGGGAACAGAGAAGCACATTTTTCAGTAAACAGTGCTCCTTTGTTATATGCATAGAAGTTGTTTAGAGCTCTGCAGGTGATGAATCCGCATGCATTGTAGGCAGGCAGATGGTATTAAGAGAAAAAATCTCATTCATAAGGTGACCCAAACAGTGTACCTCTCTACTTCAAAGGTTGGGATAGTGTTTGTATTCTTTTCAAAACAAAAACACCAATTCTACTTTTTAAAGATCAAATTGCTTTCACCTTCTGCTTCAGGAGGCTTTTCATAAGGGTCTCTTGCCTACCCCATTGAACGCTTGAGCCTCTGCCCCCAGCATGCTTCGCTGTAGGGGTGCTCCCTTTAGTCTCTTGGTTCCTCAAGGCGATTTTCTGCCTTTAGTTCCCAGATTAGCATCCCCCTCCCTCCTGGATTCTTTGATTTTTTTTCAAAGGAAAGATCTACTTTCCTGTTGGTCGTGGCACCCACCCACGTGGTGGGAGAACTCTCTCCTTTCACTAACTAGACCTGTTGTTTCAAAAGAACTAGTGGTCCTCTATCTTTATCTCCTAAAAGTTGCATGCATATTTTATTTGAACAAGAATAATACCTGCCTGAGCTCCTTCTTCAAACTCAAAGTTAGGAGTTACCCAGGGCAATAATAATTCATCTGAAGTAATCTTCCTAAGCAAGACTTCTGAAGATCATGATAGCAAGGCAGATACATGCTGTATTGAAGAATCTTAACCAGTAGCACAGTAGGCACTAACACAGTATAAATACATGATAACTAAATAACCTGTCTGAACCGAATCAAACCGCGCACACACGCCCTTTACGAAGTTTACAGCTAACCTTAAAAAAAAAAAAAAAAAAGTTGGTACTATTTGTACATTTGCAAACACTACCAAATGAACATGCTGGAGTTGGTTAATACAATATTCAGCCCTTAAAGAGCTCTGTTCTGGAAGGATAAACTGGGTACTGAGCATTTGCTCAATCTATCCCTCAAGACTGTTCCCTGCTTCATCTCAGATATTCACATCTCTTGACCGTTCCTTAGGAACTGCTATTCATGTCGTAGTTGTCAGTCTATATTAGTGGTACCAGGATCAGAGTCAGTTTCCTGGTACTTAAATTTTGCTCTCTGTGGCCTGGCTAGATTACCAAAGGTGGGAGGATATGTTCAGGAAAAAGCAAAGAGATGTTTGTTCAGATAGTTTGATCAATATTGGGTAAAATAAATTATTTACTGTAATGGATCTAATCCTCCTTTGAAGTCAAGAGAAATCCTAATTTCTTTGTTTTATTCTGAGTTATTGGCTGCTGCTTGCCTGAACTTTTCAGGGAGGAGGAAATATTTAGTGGTTTGTGCTGGTGTAACTAGACCACGAAAAGCAAATTAGGAGGTTAAAACAGAAACGAAAACTTGACTTTGGATATGATTATTTTAACTGAAAACTTTCACAAGGACAAGATGCAAAAAACTGAAGTTACATAGTGTAAATTTGGGATGCTACCTGTTAGGTAATCAACCTTGTTTTAATAAAATATTTGTTAATTTACAAAGTGATATTCACCTCAAAAGACACTGTTATCTTGAATGAAACTGGGTACTTCATCTGACCTGGCAAGTCAGTATTATTAAAAAAATCAGTGAAATCCACTTCCTAGTTGAGTGAACTGTGACTTCTTGGTTTAGGCCAGTCAGTAGTTATGTCTGTCTTCTTCTCTGACACAGACAATTTTATCTCTGACCTGGAATACCAGCCATCAGGTTCAGCAGAGAAATGGACTCAACATTCAGCATTCATGTCCAACTCCTGTGTGGAAAATCTAGAGGGTGAGTCTGCTTAAACGCTTCAATGTTTTATATTGGAGCACAAAAGTAAGGAAGGGAAAAAATGTGGTAGTTCTAATATCTACAGATGAAAAATGCTATATAATAACCAAGTATTACTATAAATAGGGACATGTGTATTTTTTCTGTGATTCACGGATGTGGGATTTTGTGTAGAATTCGCCCTTTGCTGCAGAATATTGTTCTGGAATTTAAGCTACAGTTTAAAAAAAAAAAATCTATTTCCACTCTTTAGGCTTACAAAGAAAAGCTTGATATGTGAACCAGGTGTGAACTAGAGGTATCATACAATTCAATAAAACAACTCCATTTTAAAAAGGGATTTGAAACTGCTGCAGAATTTCCACTAGAGTGCTGCAGAATCTAGGGAAACAGTCTAATTTGCTGCAGAGAGCACAAGGCTTGGGGGGTTTTTTTTGTTTGAGGTTTTTTTGTATTTATTGAGTAGAGCAAGGTCAGAGAGGCCAAAATAGCCTCTGACTTTTCACTGTGATCTATTAAGTCTCAAACTTTTTTTAAACATAAAACTTCTGATTTACTTTATCTCAAATTAGGTTGAATTTTAGATAAATAAGGTTTAAGAAGATAAATTGGAGATCCAGCCAAGGTATCAGGATAAATTGGCACTTCATAAATTCCTGGCTAGTTGGATGTACTGTAACTGGGGGGAAAGGTTCTGCAATTGCCTTAAAAATCCATCAACTTGCTCCCTTCATATATATATATATAAAATAAGAATTGTACACTATGATTTTGTTTGTTAAACGTTGGCAGTATTGTTAATACTGGAAATAGGCACATGGTGGTTGATCTCGCTTGTGCTTTCTTATTCCCATTTTTCCTACATATGTATATGCATAAAATTCTAATTAAAAACACTTTTTTAAATTCTCAAATTTGTTTTCTAAAGCAGCTTTTATTCTATCACTGTATTCTATCCCTGGAAATTCAGACGTAAAAAAGGTTTGTTAATTTAGGATTACACAACACTCTAAAAAATAAAACCGCTTCTGAGCTCTGTTTTAGTCTAGTTACAAACCTACAGAGTAGTACTCAACTAGTACATAACCCTAACCTTAACCATGACAATAAGGTTGTTCAATGAATATTTAAAGAGAGAAACTACACTCAGTTAAACATTTAAAGTTTTGTTTAGTTATTCAAATTTTATTAGAGAATATTTAGAAAAAAATAAACGATACAGAAATGCCTTAGCAACCTGAAAGTGAAATAGGATTCTAAAATTAATTTTCATTTCTACAGTCCTCCATAGATCTACTACCACAAGTGTTAACAATATTAAAAATTATCAGTAAAGCAAGCAGCTAGGATTCAGAATAGCACAAAGGGGAAGCAGCATGCATTTGTGTTAAGGTGATTGTTTTTAGAAAACGTATTTGGTCTTCAAAGAGATGAGTAAGAGGGGGACACAATGCCACTTGTCATTTTTAGCTTAGATTAGTGGAATATGTTCCAGTGCTTAATCTTAAAATGATTGAAAAGCTGGAATGGTTGCTGATTGTGCATTTGGCAGGTGAGGTGTACTATAGAGTACACAACACCCGTGCTCTGGACCTGCACTGTTTATCAGAGAGATTTCATCTAGATTTTAAGGTGGTGGTGTGGTAATAGCCTCCTCAGACACTGCCACAGTTGCAGTTAGTGGAGATATTAACGCTATATTCCCTTGAAATAAGAGAGGAGGCACCAGTCAGGGCATTCCCGGTAATATTGCTGGGATTCAGGAATGCTTTCCATTTAATAAATTAGAAATAGCTTGGATGTGCCAACTTTCAGGGCATGGTGTAAAACCAATTTATTTCATCAGGCCTTTGAAGAGAGGTAATGAGGGTGTTAGCATTATGTGCTGCTGCTTAGTAGAAAGGATTAATTTATTATATTGTATTTTGGTTTTGTATTTTTAAAGCATTGGTGGGGAGCTCAGGACAAAGATGCTTTTTAAAGGAAAAGATGAAGTATTGTCAGTTTTACTGTATATAATCGAAATCCGTACAGTTAGTTGAGGAACACTTTTATTTATTTTGTCCATTCTGTATCTAGAGATGAATGTGCTTCCTAACACCTATTCTTCTGCTGTGCAGAATGCATTGTATTGCACTCCTTGAGTAGTCTCACCAAATCCTTCTTGATTCTGCCAGTGCAAACAATCCAGCCATCACCACAAACGTTCTAAAACCCTCCCACTTAAAATTTCTGAAATATTGTGAGTGTTTTGGTGCGCTTAAACCCCAGTACCAGACTGTTCGTTACCACATGGTTCTGATGGCGGTTCTGATGTAACCACAATTTTTTTTATTAAAAAAGGGTCATCCACACAGTCATTCCCTACATATGTCACGTGCTTCTTGTGGGGGAGATTGTACAGGGTGACTGACATATGCAACTGCAAATTTGGGGGAACAAAGGCCAGCTTCCTTCTACGGTTTCTATTAATGTGTAATATGTGTGGTGCTGGTGGTAGTAGAAATAGGAAACTGAGTGAAATTAGCAAATAGCCTCAAAGGAACCTATTGGAAACTACATAGTTATTTCGATTAACAACAAATAATTGCTAACTTATCTTGGATTAGTTGACCAGTTCAGAGCTTGTTAATATACCTGCAATCGTGACAGTTCTCCCACTCCCTCCATCTTGTAGAGATGAATTTACTCAGCAACTATAACATTAAAATTGTGTTTTGTAATTATGATGAGATTATTCAGCACTGATGTTTTTTAACAATCTTTCAAACACGAAACATCAGCAATATGAATTAAGTCTACATAATTATTTACAAAGTAGGTAAAAAGGAATGTTCAATGTGGTGCTCAGCAAAACCTTTACCATTCAAACTTAATGTGTAATGAGTTGGCGTGTTAGAAAAATCCACATACTACCAGTCTTCTTTTGGCTTTGTGAAGCAAACTGACAATAGGAGTTTTGCCATAAACGATTGATTAAAAAAATCAACATTTGACCTTAGTGTTGCCTACCTGAAAATAAGATTTTTCTGAGCTGAAGCTAACTCTTGATTTCTCTGGAACGGATTTTTAAAGTTTGCGTATTTTTCTACTGAGAATTTCACAGTTCTAGGTTTTCCATTTACTGAAAGCGCTTTGAGCAGTCAAAGAACTACTGCATGAAGATGACCTCTTTCTCTTTTCCTTCCCCACCCAAAGTGTTCCATGAAACCTAGATTACTCTTATTTATTTTCTATACATAAATTACCTGATTTTTGAAAATTATATATATATAAATGATACATAGTGCCTTTATGCATTTCAATCCAAGCTCAGGCTTGTATGCTACATTGTTTTTAAAGACATAACATGGAGTAAGCAATTTCCAACAGAAGTGAATTGATTCATCACTTTGCGGTTTATTACTTTATAGCCTACTGAGTTGCTAAAAACCATGTTATTTGAGTATCAGAGGGGTAGCCGTGTTAGTCTGTATCCACAAAAACAATGAGGAGTCCAGTGGCACCTTAAAGACTAACAGATTTATTTGGGCATAAGCTTTCATGGGTAAAAAACCCACTTCTTCAGATGAAGACTAATGGATGAAGAAGTGGGGTTTTTACCCATGAAAGCTTATGCCCAAATAAATCTGTTAGTCTTTAAGGTGCCACTGGACTCCTCATTGTTTTTGTGGATACAGAATAACCCAGGCACACCTCCTATACGCATAACA